GGGGGGGGGGGGCGGAGGCTTTTTTGCCTGGGGCGGCAAAAAAGCCAGAGCCGGCCCTGCCTGGGGCGGCCCCTACCAATGGGAGTTAGGCACCCGGTGAGGATCTGGGCTCCAGCTCAGAGAGGGAGTCGGTGTCCGAGCTGGGGTTGGGCCCCTGAGTCCAGACCCCTGCGCTCAGGCCAATAGGCCGTGCCCCAGAAGAGACGGATGGAGTCCACTGGGAGACTCCCATGTTTCAGCAGGCGCCGGGGTGCCCCCAGAGCTAACGCTGAGCCTGCCGAGCGGCCCTGGGCTGGCGTTACTGAGAGGCACAGTGTCTTCTCTCTTTCCCTGGCTCCAGCACACGACTCCCCCTCTCCTCCCCGCAGGGGGAACGCACCGAGGAGTCGTGGCCCCCTGACCCCAGGATGCAAGGAGAGAAGCGTGATCCGGGGCGCAGAGTTGTTTGCTGTTCCCGATCCTGGTCCAGTCTGATCCTGGCTGCTACACCCAGGCCAGGCCCGAGTGGCGCCGCTGCCCAGCCCAGCCTGGCGTCGTCTGCGAGCCAGAGAGAACCGCAGGGTCCCGTGTGTGGGGCGGGTCCCCCAGCCCCTGTTACTCCCCTCCCCCTTTATGTTCATCCCAGCATAACCCCTGGCTCTGCCGCAGCGCGGGAGTGGGGCGGGGAGTGGATTGGGTGCCTCGGCTGCTGCCGGATCCTGGTGATTTTGCAAGGCTGCGATCGTGCTCCCGGCTGAGAGAGACGAGCTGTGCAAGCCGGCTGTGCAGAAACACCGACAGCCCTAGCCACATCCTGTCACTCATCTCCCACGCTGAGCTCTGCGCCCTCTCCTTTCCTGTGGCGGCTGCTGTATCTGGGTGGCACATCCCCCGGGGTCGGCAGTGCAGGGGCGGAAGTGGTTCCGAAGGCCACTGTGCATGTTGCGGGAGCAGGCGGCCACCCCGTCTGGGCAGCGTTGCACAGCAGTTTGGGGAGCACGCCTTCAGCGCCTCGGTTCCTCTCGCCCCTTGTCACTCATGAACATCCCTGCACATGAGTGCTGGTGGGCTGGGAAAACCCCCGGGGTCACGGGCGGACAGGGCGCCAAGAATAGCCTTCCCGATTCCTTTACAGCGTTACAGACGTCCGATCAGGGAGCGGAACCGACGCCCTGTGACTCAGGTGCCCAATCTCACGCCTCAGATGAGGACAAACCGATAGTGGGACAGTCCCCGAGGCCGACATGCACTGGGGTCAGTTGTTGACGGTGCAAGAGGGAGTCACTAGTACAGGTGTGAAAAGCAAAGCCGGGCACAAGCGACTTGCAAACAGAAAAAGGGGCTTAATGCTTCAGATTTGGCCGGATCGGCTGAACAGTTTAGAGGAAACATCCTCTGGGCCAGACCCCAACTGATCAGTGCTCACTCCTGGGCAGTGGGGGGCAAAGGTGCCTGATGCCAGGATGCAAGGAGAGAAGCGTGATCCGGCTCCCCCTTGTCCCTGCAGGGGCGCAGAGTTGTTTGCTTTTCCCGATCCTGGTCCTGCCCTGAGTCCCAGCAACTGCCAGGGGCTTAATTAGCCCAAGGCACAAATTAGAGTAGCCCCAAGGTTGCTGTAGTTTGTGCCAGTGGAGAAGCGCTTCCAAGGAGCTGCTCTATTGGCCAGAATCGCCAGAGTGCATTGTACTCCAGTCCCGCCCCAGCCCGTTCCTTCAGTGGGAGCTAGAAGCAACTGCCTATAGTTGGCTACAGCAGCCCTGGGCCAGCTGAGAATTAGCCTGTACTAGGGGTATCCTTAACCTTAACTAGCCTCTTAGAGCAGCTTTCAACCCTCTTTGTGGTGCTGGAGCAGTGCGAAGGGCCGTGGATCTCTGGGCTAGTAGGAAGGTGGTGTAAGATGCGGTCGCGTTTGTGGGCGTTGTGTGCCACTGGCGAACGAGTGGTACCTGCCGTTCTGCCAGCGTCCTGGGAAGGGAAACCTCGGTGCCAGGGGATGGGTTCTGGAATCTTTGTGCCAAAGGTGGCACCTCGCTTGACGGGTGACTTTTAGAAGGACAGACCCTCAAAAATACTTCACCTTTAATGCAATGTGTTTTCCAACCATAGATCACATCAACGCTTGATGACCGAGAGTGTCATTAGCCCTGGATTAACATGGGGGGCAGGGAAGCTGAAGCGCATAGACGTAAGTGACCGGCTCGGTCCGTGCCTCAGTTTTCCCTTCTGTGAAATGGGGCTCATGAGTTACTTTACAGGCTTGGCGGGTCACAGCTGCCAATGTGCTTTGAGACCCTCTGAAGGAAGAGGCCTTGCACAGAAGTACCAAGCCCTATTGCTCGTTATTTCAGGGCGGGGAATACGGTCATTTCATTTCGTGCTCAACTGCTACCTTCTGAAGCGGGGTTGGCTGCCTGGTGGCCCAGGGCGGGCCTGCTTTGAACCCTCCCAGGCCTGTGCGAGGTGGAAGCTCAGGAAGGTACTTACGGGTGTGGCTTGACTTTGATGTAATTCTTCGGGATGAATCCTTCTGAGCCATACAGCTCGGCTTTATACCAGTTCTGGTCGTCTTCCATATTCAGGATCTAAGGACACAAGGGAAGAGAACGTGCTTTTGAAATGTTGATCTCACTCTGAGCTATTTCAAACAGAGAAAACGACTGCGACCTCCCAGGGCTGCCAGCTCCAGGAATCGAATGGGGCAGGATCGGAGCCGGCCCACAACGGAAAAATTTTTTTCATAGGAAAAATGAGGTTTTGTGGAAAACAATATGTTTTGTTTCTTGCAACGATAATTTGATGAGGTTGTTTGTTTGTTGGCTGTGCCTGTCTTTAAAACAGGCTTGATCCAAGTTCTGGGGCTGAAATCCCCTGGACTTTGCCACATTCCGAATCCAGATCCCAATTTTGCCAATCACGTCAATTGCTAGGTCTATGGCTGATGAACTCAAACAGCAATTTCTGTGCTGCTGCCCAGGCAGATACAAGCAGGAGGGAACATTATGGGCAGCCGTGAGCATCGATTTGGGATTTCTAGGAAGCCTGTGCAAATTGCACACCGGCCCTTTAAAATCCCCCCTGTCTTGTTGGAAGGGAGTATCCGTTTTTCTTTCTTTACAGGAACTCAGTGTTATTCAATGGAGCGCCTCCTGCAGGGCAGGAAAACCCTTGGCGGACAAGTGGGATTTTTAGGCCAAGACAATAGGTGTGGCCCTGGGGTCACGAGTTGCCAGTGCAGCAAAGTTTGGCTACTCCTGCAAGAGACAAGCACAGGTGCCCATGGGGTACAGCTGTTCTATGCCAACAGCTCACGTGACAGACAATATCTTACATGGGCATCTAAAGAAAGATAAATAGATCCATAGACGGACAGACAGATGTGGCGTTAATCTGGGCAGCTCTATTTTAACCCAAAGGAAATGTCCCCATATAAATAGAAGGGCTGATGCCCAGTTCAGCTTTCACAATATTTTCCAGTACTCCTACGCAATGGGAAGCTCTGTTCAGTGCAGCTGTGCAAACAGGATTTGAAACTGTTCACATCACACTGGGTACGAACCTGCTGCTGCTCAGATTGGCTTGACCCTGGGCGCCAGGTTTGTATAATTTTTGGTGGTGCCCAGAACGGGTCCAAGCAGAGCTGGGGGCAAACGCCCCGGGCCCTGCGCTTTGGGGGGGGGGGGCCTGCATTTCAGGGGGGGGCGGGGTCCAAGGTGGCCTGGGAGGTTAGCGGGGAGCCTGGCGCCGGCAGCAGTGACCGACCCAGCCACAGCCCCAGCCCGCTCCGCCCTGCCGGTTCCCGGTGTCGCTTGGGGGAGGGGGCGGAAACTGGAAAGAGGCGGGGCGGGGGCTTAGGGAAGGGGTGGAATGGGAGCGGAGCAGGGGCAGGAAGAGGCGGGGTGGGGCGGAGTGGACTGAGGCCCGGTCACTTGCTGCTGCCGGCTCCAGGCCCCCTGCTAAGCCCCGAGGCTTCCCTGGAGCCCGCGTCCCACTGAAGCGCGGGGCCTCCCCGGTCCGTCCTATGGATGGGACGGCTCTGAAAATCTAAGCCCAAACATTGGTGGAGCCGGACCCACTGAATATTGGTGGAGCAGGGGCACCACAGGCCCATATAACTTGCCGCCTATGGGCTTGCCATATCTTCAAGGCCATGGGAAAGAAGACGGGTGTGAACCCGGGACCCTGCTTGAGAAGACGCGGGAGAGGGGAGTGCTGGCTGGAGCCAAGCCCCGAGCGGCTAGGTACTGTGCAAACGCTGCTTACATGGCTGCCCCGAGGCACTAGCTCTGGGCTCCCTCACCACCCATGGACGTCTGCTGATGCACCTCAGCCTTGACTTGCAGCCCTCTGCCATTGCACTCCTGGGTTCCCTCCCCACGCATGCAGCTCCTGACCCACTGCCCCCTTGCCATCCCCACACAGAGCTCTGCTGCTGCCCCGACCCGCAGTCCCCCTGCTAGCTGAGACATGGCTCTTCCCAGAACAGAGGCTGCCACGGGTTGTGCTGAGCTGTAGCAATCTGAGTGGTGGTTTTGGTACTGATGACAACCTGCATTTGCACCCGCGACCTGCACCGTGTCTGCATGCTGGACTCGAGAGGCGAATGGGCATTTTAAACAGCACCGCGCTGAACAAACACAAACCAGGCTTTGCCTCCAAAGCAAAGCAACCCCCCAACCCTGCCGGCAGCGCTCAGACCTGCGGAGGGGGGCCAGGCCCGAAGGCGGATGCTGGGGTCTCTGGGAACAGACCCGGGGCTCCAGAAACACTTCTGAGCAAGGCAAAGGGGTCAGGACCTGGGGGGAGCCTAGTACAACCAAGGCTGTGCCTGAGCAAATGGACCGGGCTGACCCCCTGTGGGTGGGACGAGGAGCTGAGATTGGCCTTAACACCGTGAGATTTTAAACATCCTGAACGTGGGGCTCTTTGCCTTTGCCTGCTGGTGTTTGTGCTCTTAGCACTCACGTTTTCAGCCTTTTCTCAGCAGCCACGAGGGCTAGACACATTCCTGGTTTGTTCTTTCAAACGCAAGCTGAGATTCTTACGCGCTCCCCTGACTCCGGGAGCTGGGGCTTTAAGAAAACCACCACGTATCGCGAGACTTGTGATCCAGGCACGAGACTTGGCGATGCTGAGGAGGGCACTTTCCTGTGGCACATTTTCTATTGCTTTTTCCTGCCTCGTTGTAACTGGGAATTCCCCTATGGCCCTCAGGAGCCGATTCAGAAGACTTGCTGACCGTGGGAATCACAAAATCATAGAGATGTTGGGCTGGAAGGGACCTTGAGAGGTCATCTAGACCAGCCCCCTGCATTAAGGCAGGACCAAGCGAACCTAGACCAGCCCTGACAGGGGTTTGTTCAACCTGCTCTTAAAAACCACCAGTGATCCTACAACCTCCCTTGGAAACCTATTCCAGAGCTTAACTACCCTGAGAGTTAGAAAGTTTCTCCTACTAACCGAAATCCCCTTTGCGGCAGAGTAAGCCCATTCCTTCTTATCCTACCTTCAGTGGACATATTCCCGTCCTCTTTAACGGCCCTTAACATATTTGAAGACTTTTATCAGGTCCCCCCCCCCAGTCTGCTTTTCTCCAGATGGAACATGCCCAGTTTTTTTTAACCTTTCCCCAGAGATCAGGTTTTGCGAGGGGCGACTGTCTTCTTTTCCCGGGAGAGGGTGGCCCTCTACGCCCGACACCAGCAGCCAGAAACATTGGGCTGAGTCTCAGCTGCATTGACAGTGCCCTGGTGGATTCTGGGACAGGGAACTGCTTTAGCAACGGCGGAGGAATCCCCCTCTGTCTGGCTGAATTCGTTTTTTTGTGTCTGGATCCATGGGTGGGGCAGGAGGGGAAGAGGGGAATTTCCACTCTGGACTCTGATTCATGCATCCCTTCCAAGAATGAGGCGTCGTGCTCAGAGTCCACCGGGGGCGAAGCCTATTTCACTGCCATGGGGCTTTCAAAGAAATCGCGTCAATGGGGAAATTCCACCCTTCTCATCGGGGCTACGGGGCCAGGTGGCTCGCTCATTGCTGAAGCTGGGGAGCTCTCCAGGCAGGGGCTGCAGCAGGCTCAGCCCTTTTGCACACTTCCTCGTGAATTGAGCGCTCATGCACGTGAGACGCTCGTGACAGCCCTGGCTTGAACCAAACATTACGCTTACCGATGGCTCTGCCAATACCCCAGCCCCTGCCATCCCGACCCTGGGCTGCCGGTGCCCCTCAGTCCTGATCTGCCATGAACCGGCTGGTACGGCGATGAGCTCTCCTGGCATCAGCAATGGGGACGGTTTGGGGGCTTTGTGCAAATGGGGACGAGGCTGGGACCTGTCGGACTCCTGTTCCCGTCTGACCTCCTCCAGCCTTTGAACCTGAGTCTCTAGAAGGGAAAGGCTGGTGCAGTCACACTCCCGCCCCCGCCCACCAGCCTGAGCCCCAATCACTGGGCTCGTAGCAGGCTGAGTTTCCTTGGGCCTTTTCCCCTCTGTCAGGATTGTCTCAACCCAGCCACACAGGAGCGAACGGGATGGGAATTGGCGTCTGAAGTTATTCCCCGGCCAGCCAGAGGGGGCGCTGCGGAGCAGCACCCCCAGCCCTCCCCAGGGCTCCAGTGTTGCATAGCAGGGGAAGTACCTGTTTGTAGCAAAGCAATGGAAAGCTCTTGCCTGGCACGAGGGGGGCAGAGTTCCTGTCACAGCCCAGCGGGGTGGAAAAGGACACCGCTCCCCACCCTGAAACCACACCAGGCTGTGTCTTTCCAACCCGGCGAGGCCTTGACTGAGCAACGTGTGTCTGCAAAAGCCAACGCTGCCTGCAAAGCAGCCACCTGCTTCTCCAGCAGTGCCCGGGCCCCTCTGCTGTCCTCTCGCGGCCCGGCCCAACGAGAGCCGAGTCCCGTCTTAAATGCCTGCTAGCAAACGAGCTGGCTGGCCAATGGCTCGGCCACCATGTCAGACACCCAGTTCACTAGGGACCATGGACGGCCCTGAGCTGGCTGCTGAGTGTTGTGGGGGATGGAGGGTTATGTGGTTACTGCCAGGCGGTGCCCTGGGGACCTGGGTTTGAAGGGAGACACTGATGGAATTGCAGCTGGTACCACAACCTAGTTCCTCCCCGGACCAGCTGCCAGGTCCTCAGCGGGGTCTCTGCTCTCTAGAGTTGCCCGGGAACAGCCAGGGCGGTAGCAGGGCAGATCTGAGGGGCATCAGCAGGGCTGCATGGGGAACCAGGGCTGGGACAGCAGGGGAGGCAGAGGAATGTGCCACAGCTGCGTGGCCCCATGCCGACGCATGGGAGCGGCCGTTAGTCTCGTGAGCAACCCCCTGGGCTCTGCGGGGCCACCCAGGTGAGCAAGGACTGCCAGCCACCCCTGGCGCTGTGGCTCGTAGTGAGATCTCCAGGCGTTTCTTTGCAGCTCAGAGGCAGGCAGACCCCAGGTGCGCAGGGAACGGCTCCCAAACTGGTCTCCTCTGCTTAGCCCAAGGCAGGCTCTGTCCTCCCCTCCTGCCTTTGGGCCCCTGCCTCATGGCTGATGTGACTGAGGGGTCAGCCAGGAGCCCACCAGGCCTAGGGCCAGAGGAGACCAGTGACAGCCCAGCCGAGGCAGCGTCTGCTCTGTGCTCCTGTTGCACAGCGGCTCCCAGCTGACTTCGCAACAGCCGAACGCGTGGAGCTGGCAGGCGGTTGCTTTGTTATTTCCTGTACTGACAGTCGGCGCTGGTGCTACCCTCCCAGCTATCTCCCACCTGCTCCCCCCCCCCAGAGACAGTCCCTTGGCTGCGTGGCTCTATCCATAAATGACTCTGGAGAACGCAAAGCACCCGGACTGACGCCAAACGACATTGGTACAAGGGGTTTCCTTCCCACACATGGGTTTGTGCTTCAGGCACGTACCCAGAGACCTTGGTTCTATTCATGCCTCTTCGCAGCCCGGGTGACCTTGGGCCAAACACTCCCTGCTGCTGCTTCCTCCTTGGTGAAATGGGGATAATGCCCCTGAAGGCTAAATCTAGGCTGGGCCCTGTGCAGATGCCTGGTAAGAGACAGTCTGCAAAGACCCCACAGACAGGGTTAGTATCGGGCGGGTGGGGGGGAACCGCCGCATGGAGAGAAGAAGCAACTTGTCCAGCATCACCCAGGAAACGTGGAGCCTCGCTGGGATTTGAACCTGGGCCTCCTGAGTCCCCTTCTACTGCCTGACCCACCCGCCCATCTCTTTAGGGCAGTGGCGCTGTCACTGCAAACTGCTGCTGTTAATCTGCTCATCCACACAGGGCACACAGAGAGGCTATTGGATGGTACGAGTGCTGCCCAGTTTTTATTGCCACAGGTCTGAGATGGCGGCATTGCTCACCAGGGGCGGAGCAGTGAGCCAGTTTTGCAGGTTATCCTGAGCAAGAGGCAGTCGTTTTCGTCAGCACCCTACCCCTTTCTATCTGATCGGTGCTGCTCTTGGAAAATCCGGGGGAACAAACCAAACAATGGATTGTGGGTGCAAAATTACATCTGCAAAAAGGAGGGCTAAGCTGAAAATCAATCATCTATCTATCTATCTATTCCCAGACACTCCATCTATCTATCTATTTATCTATTCCCAGACACTCCATCTATTTATCTATTCCCAGACACTCCGTCCATCTATCTATCTATCTGTTCCCAGACACTCCCTCTATCTATCTATCTATTTATCTATTCCCAGACACTCCATCTATTTATCTATTCCCAGACACTCCGTCCATCTATCTATCTATCTGTTCCCAGACACTCCATCTATCTATCTATCTATCTATCTATCTATCTATCTATCCCCATTCGTATCTAGCTCGCTAGCTGTGTTTATAGCTCACTCATCACCGTGATAGCTACCCCTATAAACTCAGACCAGCCCATCCATGCCATGTCTCCAGAGACATTATGTGATGTAGGCCGTGCAAATGTTGTTATGGCCATGATTTCGGCAGGCTGGCATGATTCAGGAGCGATCGAGCTCGGAGTGGGCCCCATTATTTATCACATAATAATTTGACATTTGCAAATGGTACTTTAACACAATCGGTGCCAACTCTGGCATACAAAGTGCCTGGAAATATCACCACGGTATATGGAGAATTTTGCAAGCCCAAGCCTGGGGAAGAAAGACCTTTGGCTGCTCCTACAAACTTTCTTCTTAAACAGTAAGTCAGAGCTCTACTGAGATCAAAATGTTGGGGCCGTGTATTAATTCAGTTCTAAAGCACAGGAGTAAATAAGTGTTCAGGCGAATCAAACATCTCTTAAGAGATTTACTGCTCCTGTTTGTATTCCAGGTGTGTCTAGCGGCCCCACCTGAGATCACAGAAATCATAGAGATGTCGGGCTATAAGGGACCTTAAGAGCTCATCCAGTCCAGCCCCCTGCACTGAATCAGGACCAAGTAAACCCAGACCATCCCTGACCGGTGTTTGTCCAGCCTGTGCTTAAAAACCTCCAGTGACGGGGATTCCACAACCTCCCGACAGAACCAATTCCAGAACTCAACTCTCCTTAGAAAGTTTCTGCTGATATCCATCCTAGATCTCCCTTGTGGTGAACTGAGCTGATTCCTTCTTGTCCTATCCTTGATTACCATCCCCTTGATGACAACCTTTTACATAGCTGAAGACTATCAGCCCCCCCGCTTCTCTTCTCTAGACGAATGCCCAATTCATTCAATCTTTCCTTTCCAATTTGTCCACATCTTTCCTAAAGTGTGGCACCCAAAATTGGACAGCGTAGTCCAGCGGCAGTCTCACTAGTGCCACGCAGAGCCAGACAATTACAGCCTGTGTCTTACATACGACGCTCCTGTCAACACACCCCAAAACGACATTTGCCTTTTTTGCCACAGCATCACAGTGTTGACTCAGGTTCAATTTGGGATTCCTTATAACCCCGGGTTCTTTGGAGCAGTACTACAACCTAGCCAGCGAGTCCCCATTTTGTAGCTGTGCATTTGATGTGTCCTTCCTCAGTGTAGTCCTTTGCCCTTGTCTCTATTGACTTTCATCTTGCTGAATTCAGGCTGGCTCGCCAATGTATCAAGATCGTTTTGAATTCGAATCCTTTCCTCAAAGTGCTTGCAACCCCTCCCAGCTTGGTGTCATCCACCAATTTCAGAAGTGTACATTCTAGTCCATCCCCCAAGTCATTAATGAAAATATTGACTAGTACCAGGGCCATACAGACCCCCCGTGGGACCCCACTTGGCACATCCTCCCAGTTTGACAATGAACTACTCACAACTACTGATTGGTTTCTCAACAGCTGCACACCCACCTTACAGTCATTTCACCTAGACCCCATTGCCCTAGTATGTTGTTTGCGATTGGAGGCCCACACGTAAGAGACGGTTTCTGCCCAGAAGAGTTTACAGTAAAAACGAAGGGAGGGAGAAAGGAACTGCGGCCCAGAGAGATGGAGTGGTTTGCCCCTGGTTACAGGGGGCGTCTGCCACAGAGCTTGCAACTGAACCCACATCTACAGGGTCCTACTCCCGTGCCTAGACTGCAAGCCCATCCTCTCTGTCTCAGTCTCACTTTACCCAGAGGAGCTCAGCTGTGTCGCATGACGCCTCCTTCCAAGCTCAACTGCTCTTTGCAGTCAGCCCTCTGCCAGGCCAGGTCTCTTTACAGATGTCCCGGGGATCCCCCTCAACCCACAGACACCCCCCCAAACGCTGCACGGGCAGACTACGGGCTGGGGCTGCTCCCCTGGAGCAGCATTGGGCCCCATCTGTGGAGGACTGAGCTGTTCCGAGGGCCAGATCCTCTCCCCAGTGAAGTCCCCGGGCAGCTTGGCCATGGACATCAGTGCAGCTAGGATCGGTAGTGGCAAGCAATGCCTCCCAGTCCTCCCAGCCCTTCGGGGTGGTTGGGAGCCAGGTCGTGAAAGGAACAAGCCAGTCCACACCACGGATGCTAGTAGCTAGGGCTGGACACCGCTTCTGCACCCTGCTGTGTCCTCAGGGCTTACCCGTCTCTCTGGGCCACCGCATCTCAGGCACAGTCTAACCCCGCACCCAGCACGACCTCTCCCTGCTGGTGCAGCTGGTCTCAAGTGCTTTCTAGCTCCCTCCTCGGTCCAATCCCAGCTTCTGGGCCAGTGCATTTCAGAGGTATCCTAGAGCCTCATCTGCCCCCAGATCTCCCCACTCCCTAGCCCCCCCCACCAGGATCAGGAAACCTGCAATCCCTCAGGGGGCAGAGGGTACCTTCAGCGTGTCCCCCTTGCGAAAGGGCAGCTCGTCCTTCTCCGTCGCCTGGAAGCTGTACAAAGCCACAGACTCCATCCTGCGCCAGAGCAGCCGGTCCCCCTTCGCTCCCCGGCTCGGCAGGGCTCCCGGCAGCGGTCCCCTGTCTCTCACCCGCTGCACCTGCCCTTGCCGCCGGTGTGAGGCTGGGGCGCGAGGATGCAGCTGCGGAAGGGAGGGGCCAGGCTGGCCCAGAAAGACCTGGGGGCTGTTCCGAGCGACGCTCAGGAAGAGGCGATGAAGCCCTTGGCTTCCTGTTTCTCGGCTCGGGCTTGCAGGCAGGCATTTCTGCTTTGATTTTTTTGTTTTCTTTTGTTTGTTAGTTGAGTGAGAGATTCTTCCTGGTGAGAAATCCGGCAGGAAGCCACTTGGCTGTCGTTGGGCGGGCCAGGAAGGGATCCCGGCCTCTGGCGGGAAGGGGAGAAGTTACATGGAAACTGATGCCCCTGGAGATAGGGAGATGGGGAAAATGTTCTGGGGAGGAGAGAATGGGGCTGGGAGTCAGGAGCCTCAGAGCCTGACTTAAAGCCCATTGAATTCAAGGGAAGGACGCAGTCTAATGTGATTGGGCACTGAAGCAGCTCAGTATGCACTACCTACGGGCCAGCCATTTGGCTGATCTGTGCCTCAGTTTACCGTTCTGTAAAATTGGGTGATAGCAATGAGCTACAGTCCCTTGAGGGAGGGTGGCTGCAAGTTTGTAAAGTGCTTTGAGATCCTTAGACGAAAGCTCTTAGAGATGGGCCGGGTGTTACCAACAATGGACCCCGTCACAGGGTGACTGGGGCTTTAAGGGGAGATGCGCCCCACTCAGCTCCCCTGGTGAGGAAATCAGGTCAGTGACTCAATCAGGGAGAGGCCTGGGTAGAGGGATTGCAGTGTGAGCGCAAGGCTCCTGCAGGAAAGATCCTGAGACACTGGGGGCTGGGAGCGGCCCGCTAAAGCAAGGAATTGATTTAAACTTTGTACACTGGGGATTTTGACTTTTCTTTTGACCTTTGATAGGAATCAGCCCAGACCCTAAGGATGGGTGTCGGGTACAGAGCAAAACCTGGGTTTGAAGTTGATTGAGGAACCCTGAAGAGAAGGAAACCTACAGCGGGCTGCTGCAAAGCCACCCCTGGCCATGAGGGGACGCTGTTGGAAGCGGTGACCCGTTTTACAGACCTGCTGCAAAGCACATTCAAGACAAGGGAAAGACTTAATGTTCTGAGAACATAAGCGTCCAGCCCCTTCTAGAAGAGAACTTGTTGGAGGCAGAACAAAACATCAATGTCTCACATACTGCGATGCGCAGCACGTTAGAAATGCAGACATTAGTTTCCAGATTTTTTTTCATTTCAATGTGTAGCCCTAAGTTTGCATTCACAAAGTTTTTTACATTCTATTTCCTTAGTTTATTTAACTTCTATTGCCTTGTGAAAAAAGGCCATGAGGTGACATAGGAAACAATAAAAGGTTATTATTACTGATAACAATAATAAGTTACAGCAGCGTCTGGAGGACTCAAACTTCTGTACCAGGAAAGATAATGGAAAAAATAATTAAGCAATCAATTTGCAAACACCTAGAAGATAATAAGGTGATAAATAACAGTCAGCATGGATTTGTCAAGAACAAATCATGTCAAACCAACCTGATAGCTTTCTTTGACAGGGTAACAAGCCTTGTAGATAGGGGGGAAGCGGTAGATGTGGTATATCTTGACTTTAGTAAGGCTTTTGATACTCTCTCGCATGACCTTCTCATAAACAAACTAGGGAAATACAACCTAGATGGAGATACTATAAGGTGGGTGCAAAATCATTGGAAGAGATACTATAAGGTTGGAAAATCATTCCCAGAGAGTAGTTATCACTGGTTCACAGCCATGCTGGAAGGGCATAACGAGTGGGGTCCTGTAGGGATCAGTTCTGGATCCGGTTCTGTTCAATATCTTCATCAGTGATTTAGATAATGGCATAGAGAGTACACTCATAACGTTTGCTGATGATACCAAGCTGGGAGGGATTGCAAGTGCTTTGGACGATAGGATTAAAATTCAAAATGATCTGGACAAACTGGAGAAATGGTCTGAAGTAAATAGGATGAAATTCAATAAGGACAAATGCAAAGTACTCCACTTAGGAAGGAACAATCAGTTACACACATACAAAATGGGAAATGACTGCCTAGGAAGGAGTACTGCAGAAAGGGATCTGGGGATCATAGCAGATCACAAGCTAAAGATGAATCAACAGTGTAACACTGTTGCAAAAAAGAAAAAAACATTATTCTGGGCTGTATTAGCAGGAGTATTGTAAGCAAAACACGAGAAGTAATACTTCCGCTCTACTCCGCGCTGATTAGGCCTCAACTGGAGTATTGTGTCCATTTCTGGGTGCCACATTTCAGGAAGGATGTGGACAAATTGGAGAAAGTCCAGAGAAGAGCAACAAAAATGATTAAAGGTCTAGAAACATGACCTATGAGGGAAGATTGAAAAAGTTGGGTTTGTTTAGTCTGGAGAAGAGAAGACTGAGAGGGGACATGATAACAGTTTTCAAGTACATAAAAGGTTGTTACAAGGAGGAGGGAGAAAAATTGTTCTCCTTAACCTCTGAGGATAGGACAAGAAGCAATTAAAATGCAGCAAGGGCGGTTTAGGTTGGACATTAGGAAAAACTTGCTCTCATTGTCAAGGTGGTTAAGCACTGGAATAAATTGCTTAGGGAGGTTGTGGAATCTCCATCGCTGGAGATTTTTAAGAGCAGGTTAGACAAACACCTGTCAGGGATGGTCTAGATAATACTTAGTCCTGCCATGAGTGCAGGGGCCTGGACTAAATGACCTCTCGAGGTCCCTTCCAGCCCTATGAGTTTATGATTCTATGAGATCAGGACTAGAGGAGTCAGCTTATCAAGGTTTTCCCAGGATCGTCCCTTTTTCGAGGCAGCTGTGCCGGAAAGTCTGTAAGGGTGCTCAGTACACACTGCCAGCTGCCCAGTTTTGGGGCTCAGGATCATTCTGGATGTCCCAGAGTTTTGGACCTCAGAGGTGGCGTGGCAGCCCTAGTCGTGTGTTAGGTGCTGTACACACACACACGGAATCCGGCGGAGCCTGCTTCCACTGAAGTCAGTGGCAGAACTCTCACTGACGTCAACGGGGCAGGATCAGGCCCATTGTGAGACACAGTCTCTGCCCCAAAGAATTTACAACCTATACGGTCGAAACAAAGGGTGGGGACATGTTATGGAATCAGCGTGCCAGGGGGTGACAGGACCTCAGAGGATATGGGAAATGAGCCCCAATATTAAGAGGCCTGCAAACCCAATACAGCCGCCTTGCTGTGAGAAAAGAGTGAGTCATTCACAGCCAGTCATTTATTCTGGGAGTTTTTCTTCTTTTTTCTGCTGGTGGATCGGGCAGATGGTGGTTTCCTCCCATTTAGCCAATTTCTATTTGGATTTTTTACCTTGGGAAGCAGCTGTGAATGTCTGTCATTTGATCTCTCTTGGCTTGCTTGTGATTGGCTAGACAAACCACATGGTACTTTTTTCTGTTCCCTGATTGGATGAGGATAACTATATTTGACCAGCAGAAAAATTCATGCCCAGTGAACCCAGAAGGGGGCAGCAGGAGCAACGTCAGAGTCTTGGGAAATGCTCCCTATGCCCTGCCCTCCTGCACAGGATGTGTGGGGAGCTGGGCCCCGAGCGGAAGCCTGGGCAAGTTGCAGGGGATCGGCTGAGACCCCCTGAGTGGGTGCACAGAGTTTGGGGGAGAAAGGGGGGTGCTGCTGGCCGGGGAGACACTCAGCCTTGCTGGCAGGCTTTCAGGGAGGAAGAAAACAATATTTACCTCTTGTTTTCCCCTTGTCTGGCACCATCCCAGGAAGCACTTCCTGCAAACAGTGGGAAAATTCACTCGGGGCCAGAATAAAGGGAAGCGAGGGGGATCAGCGAGGCGTCGGGCCGGACGATGATGGCGTCTCCTGGGACAGAGGATGTGACCTGAAGAATGATGAGTCAGGGTGAAAGGTAAATACCCTGCATGCTCCAGCCCCTGCCCTCTGGGCCAAGAGAATCATACTGTGCATTTCTCCGGCTCCTGCTGCCTGAGGAGCTCAGAGCCTGGTCACCCAATGCCCTGAGGGTTAGGGCAGGGTTACAGTCCCCATTTTGCAGATGGGGAAACTGAGGCACTGAGTGACTTGCCCAAGGCTGCAGAGAAAATCAGGGGCTGAGCTTGGGCTTTTCTGCTTCCCACCCCCCTGTGCCGAGTCATGCCCACTCTTCTATGCTTCCTCGTCTGGCTGCTGCTCATGTCACCCCCGGCATCACCCCAGCAATGGGCAGTCCCGGGCTGGAATTGCAGGGCAGGTTGTGGGTGCGGGTGGGGGGGGGCATTGGCAAGGCTAGAAGGGAGAGGAGGAAGCTTGCAATGCCCTGTGTGTGCCTTCACTCTCCGGGGTTGGGAATCTCCTGGCAGCTTAGCTAGAAGGCTTCTTTTGGGGGTCAACCCTCACCTAGAGGCCACAAAGGTCCCTTGTTGTAGCTTAGGGCGCCCAGCACAGGAGCTTAAAACCCTGGCTTTAGCACTGATCCCTTTGCTCTAGTCTAGAGGCTTTAGATCATCCACAGGCTTTGCTGGGACCAGAGTCCCCAGCTCCTCTCTGGCGACCTTCAGCTAAGTGCGGTTCAAGGCGATGATGCAATTGTCCTGCTGCTCTTATCAGCCATGACCAAGGGTCAAAGGAAGCACCTGGAGCAGGCCGAGAGTGCGAGGGGCAGGCAGGGTGTAATATGGGGCGAGGGAAGCCAAGGTGACCCTAATCACACTCCACAGTCCCTTGTCGCCAAAATCCGGCAGCAGGGGGACGTGCAGTGTTTGTGGCAGGTCTGAGCCAAGCCAACGGAGGGGGAAAGACAATGAGGAGAGAAGCACGTGGGCAAAAACATTCCTGGGTCCAAGGGACGGATACCGGATACTTGTTGTGAACCACTCCGGGGGATGATGGGGGGCTGGGAAGGCCGTGTTAACAGAGGGAGCTTGTGGGGTGATAGGGGGGCTGGCTGGGAAAGCCATGTTAACAGAGGTTGCTCGAGGTATACTCAGCTCTTTATCTGGGGAGGAGAAAGTGGAAGGATCAGAGAGGGGAGGTCAGAGCCGGG